CTTTCCCAATCTGTGATATAATTGAAATTGAAACATCTTGAAAGTAAATTGAAATCTTTTATGCAAATTCTCACAACACCCGCTGGCTTCTGATAAGATCTAAGAGATGGGAGGGTTGTTTAAAAACAAAAAGATAAAATCTTAAAACTTAGCACTCTACACTTACTGATAGAGTACTTGCATTCACCCTAGTGTCAAGCAGTTGTGGTACTTGCATACTAATTGCTGTTAATTGCCACTATTAACAACATTTAAAAAAATAAAAGTAATGAACCAATGAGTTCCTGTAAGAACTACTTTATCCATTAATATTGACAACATAATATTTATGTGTATAAAGCCTGCCTACCTGGGGATTTCTCTTAACTTAGTGCAGAGGGGGGAAAAAAAAAAGCACTATCAGATACTAAAAAGAGTATTTTTCTGAGCACTGGCATAATCAGACACTAAATATTTGAAATTCAGAATGCTATTTCTGGCTGAAACTGTTTTTCTTCTGTAAAAAAGGGAAATTGTTTGTGGGTTTTAATTTCTTCTGCTTTCCCTGAGTCTGAGGGGTATCTGGACTAGGTCTGCTTTCTGAGTCACCTTGCTTACCCGTGGGGACCATGTGGGGACTGTAGAGGTGAACACAGGGTGGCAGAGGACAGCACACCTTTTAACTCCAGTCTTTTTGTGTGGGATCACAGGGTGAAGGGGAGGGCGAGAGGCATCCTGGGGATGATTCTGTGTGAGGACATCTCACTGATATGAGTGGGAAGAAGGTACAAGGTACACCTGGTTTAAGTGCCTTTTAATGATGTGCTTGCCAGAGCAGGGCACCCCTTTGATTTCCCTGGTTTCTGTGATGTGCTCTGCAGGTCTGTGATCTACTTGAGAGAGTAGGAGATAGATGTGTGACACTCGCAAGGAGTTTGTGAGCCTGGGGAGGAGACCTCTTGCTTTGCTGTCCTGAGTGTATCTTACTCCCTTGTTGGAATTAGTCCCTCAGTATCTGCATTAAACTGCTTGCCTGGGTTCAGCTGACGCCAGTTTGACAATATGGTAAATCCGGCTTTGGGGTTTGAAATACCAAATTGGAAGCATCATGACTGTACAAAGAGAAATGCTGCTCTGGTATAAACCTGCTCAGTCAGTTCAAATGCATTCAAAACTCTTGTTGCCTCATACTGGCAGGCAGTATGCCAGGTCAAGTATTATCTATTTGTGTCACTTCTAGCTTTATGCTGAGCCAACCACGTTTCTGACATGAACCACATGTATTATGTTCTATCAGATTAGGCAGACGTGGTTATGTGGCTACACCTGCTCCAAGTCGATACAGCTGGGAGATCAAGCATCGTGTGCATCAGGTAGTTGAGTCAGGGCCTCATAGATTTAGCGCATACCTTGCATACTTCTTAGCATACCCCTGCTTTCAGCTACAGATTGGTTGTTCCTTCAATTCTTTTCCACTTAATCGCTGCTGTTTTGACAGATATATAGACGTCTGATTCAGCATTTTTTCTCCTATATGTCTTATGCACATGTTTAGTTCTTCTACCATGGAGAGTTTCTCTTGGTCACTTGCCTTCTGGAGTGAAATGCAAGATGCAGGGTTGAGATGCCAGTGCTCTTCAGACAGTGCGTGCTTCTGGGGAGACTTTCAGACTACCAGAAGTACAGTGAGTGGTTTGGTGACTGTCAGCAGGCCTTAGCGCAGTGTTCTTCCTGCTGGGATGGTGGTGAGCCTGGGGGTATCGTTATCAGATTGTCTTGTAATGTTAATAATGTCTTATATATTGTTCTTGTTCTAGTTAAACCATGAAAGCCTAAAGGTGACTTTCACCGAGTCAGCATATTCTTCAAATCCCTCAGCGAGGATTAGCTGCCTTGCTCCAACACCTCAAATCTCCGTTCTATCAGGTATGCCGGTTTCCTCCAGAATGCCCCACTGTGGGGAGCTTTGCTGGTGATTTCTTGTAGTTCTAGCAAAAGCTATTGATATTTGTGTGTACTAAACAAGTATAGTCTGGTTGGAGAGGAAACCTTGCTTACTGGCTTTGTAGATGGGACAACATCAAAGTATGATATATAGTTTGAAAGTACAGGGGTTTTTTGCCTTTTAAATGGCATTTTGGCAATTTTAGTTGGCTGGCTTTTTGGGTGCTAAAGAGTAAAATACTTGAAATGTTCAGATTATTCTTGGCAGGTTAAGTCTTCATTCATTCAAGAAATAGTTTCTCAGATTTTAACAATTACCATAATTACTCACATGAATATCAGCTGCAAAACTGAACTTGAGGGGTTTTGTTCTTTTTTATTGGAACTAACCTATTTCTCATAGTAGCTTAAAATGTGGGGTTTGCTTTGTTTGGGTTTGTTTGTTTTGCTGTTTGGTAGGGTTTTTTATTAAGTTTGTCACAGCAGAAGCATGAGTTAAATTTTTAAAACTTTTTTTTTCCCTCTTACTATCCACTAAGAACAAGTATTTAGCAGAGTAAGTCAGCATGGTTATATGATTAGAGATGCTCCATGATGCTGCAGTAGTGGAGATGATGGAGAATGAGAGGGGGATGGAAAGTCTGTAGGGATAGGTTTTGAAATAGGAGAGCAGAGCAGAAGAGTTGAAGATGGTAAGACTAAATGTTTTGTCTTGCACAGAAAAGATGCTGTATTCAGCCCAAGTCAAGGTACTCCTGTGCAGTTGAATGTCAGTAGATACCAAAATGGCTTTCTTTGTCTGAAAAGATAGAAATATGTTTGTTTGAAAGTCAGCTAGCTTTTATTTTCCTGTTCCTGCCCATACACTGCTGTGGCTAGCTATATTGGCAAGGTGTTTCTTGGCAAGTGCAGCCAGTAAAATACACAGTTTTCCTGTTATTTCTGCAAGAGCTTTATCCTGATAAGTGGCAGGTGGCTGGTCCCGATCACTGATTAACTCTTCAGCTAATTTTGACTTGGCTTTACTAGGACAGCATTGCTGGCATCTCTTGCTATATAGCTTATATGTGATGTTATTAATTTTTTCCAGCTTTCTCTTGGCAAGGACTGCTCTTTATATAGACTTGCTTTTCCAGAGTACACAGTGGTTTTTGTTTTCGTTTTGATCCCTTCATTAGTAAACTTTCTTATCATGCAGTTTGGGTGCATGCTGGCTTCCAGGTGAGTGACTGGTGGAGAGGTTTCCTGTTTTCCATTGAGATATGTCCAAGGAGAGCAATCTCTGGGCAAAGTCTGCAAGACTTGCTGCATTTTTTCACTTGTGGTGTTTAACATTCCTTGTGGTCCTAACTAAGAGGTCTTTAACCTGGAAATGAATCTTCTTGATTGTGTCTATTCTTAGACTTTTACAACTGATAAGTGGACAGTTGTTAACTTCATTGTTATGATGTGGTTGGTAGTTACTTCTTGAAGACTTCATGTCTAATCTCTGCACTGCTTGGGTGATGGCAGTTCCTGTGAAGCTTTTTGTTTCAGGTATAGGACTTCAATTTATTCTTGAATACCTACTGATTGCAGTGCACACTTCTACATCATACTAATGTTGACATGTTCACAACTAAAAGAAGTTTTTCCATTTTGTATTGAACTCCAGTTTTGCCACAGATCAGTAAGGCCTTGGCAGGTGGTACTTTTGATTCCTTCAGAGGCATTATAATGCCAGAGTGATGGAGCTAATTATCTTTATGGGTTCACGTAAATGTTGCCACCCTTATGAGTAATGGACTGAAGGTTACTTTAGCCTTTTCTACATGAGGAGGAGTGTCCAACTGAACGGGAACATGCAAGCCTGTGACCTTTTATTACTAAGTATGTATTTATTTTCCTTCCTGCTATATCGATACTCCATGTGTCTTGCTGCAATGTGACCTATTTTATTGGCAACAGTTACTTTACTGGTAACTACCTCATCCAGTGTTATAGAACAATGTTGTTTTTGAGCATGCTGGCAATCGGTCACCATTAAAGTCCTAACTAATTGTGTTTGGCTAGCATCAGCGTACTTTACTGTTGGTTTATTACCTAGGCTTATCAACAACAGAATTGCTTCCTGACTGCAGAAAGCAAGAGCTCTGTTGCAGGAAGAGGCAGCAGAGTGGTGTGTGGATTCAGTTCTCTTCTTACCCATGTTAAAACTAATATGCATTTTATTATGTTGTAAGTTAATTTTTTTTTAGGATTACTTCCTCACCTTTCCATTTCTTCCCTTTTCTGAACAGATGAATACTCGAGGCCAGCAGTGATTGGACATGCCAGAAGTTTTGGATCGTACCCAGGCAGTGCTGAAGCTATCAAAGACATTCTTGTGTCTGTTTTGAATGCATCTGATTTGAAGCCCTCTTTGGTGGTGGAGCAGAACACAATGCGGGGAGCTGAGCATCTGGACAGTGACATGGAGCGGTGGGAGGAAAGCAGTGATGTGGACAGCCATGACGAGAGCGACAGTGATTCTGCCCATCACAATGCTGCCTGTACACAAACAGACATTCGGTTTACAAGGCACCGGGCATGCTGGGACAACTCATGCTGTGACTCCTCTAAGCCTCTGCTGGATAGTTGCTTTTGTCCCCATTACTCTGATGGGGATCCTGCTGCTTCCTCCTTGAGTGGTTTCACTCTTTCGGACGTGTCCCCTCTGAGGCGGGACTGCTTTACCCAGGTGACCTTAACAGGAGGCACTGTCACATCAGCTGTTGTGCTTTCTGGAAAAGGATGTTATACCTCCTCTGAACAAGACTTGACTCTCACAAGGTTCTCTTCTGATTCAACTGCTGGCAGGCCAGCAGATCTGTTGAAATATCCTGATGCTTTGGAGCCTATGCCTGTCAGCAACAGTGACAGCAATTCTCCCAGTGGACTTTCCCAGTCAGAGCCAGTCAATCAATCAGGTAACTTTGAGGTCCATTTTTGTTTTAAGATTTCTACTCTAGGAAAGAGAATCTGTAATAGAAATGGGCCTTGTTTATGGTGGTTGTGAACTAAAAAAATGCTATTGCTTAAAAATAGGAGAGAGGGGAGAAAAGTTTGAATATAAAGAACTAGAGAGTTTGACTCTGAAGTTACTTGGGCTTGCAGTAACTGTCCGTCTTCTGCCGCAAAAATGCTTCTGTAATATGCAGTCTTAGGTATAATGTAAAAATAGCTGAGCTGTGAGCAATGTAGAACATCCACTGGATGAGGCTTCTACCATCTTTGTCTTATCTTCACTGTTACCCTTCTCCTGAAAGCGGATAGCATGGATCTGGGTGTTTGGTAGTGATTCACTGGTGTCTGCAGGCTCCCTAAGACATCTTGTGTTTGACGTGAGCTGGAGGAGAGGGAGTCCTTTGATTCTGGGATTTTGGAGGCAAGCCACTAACATCCATTCTCGTTATGACCGAATTGGCTTGTGCCACAGTGGGTACTATTTTTCCTCTTGTCCTTTCCAAGTGCACCTGCCGTCTCAGAGACACATAGCCCCATCCAATGCAGATTAGGCTCTTTTTACCCCTCACCAGTTTCTGACCATATGAATATCCCTCATGTTACCTGTAAAGAGATGCAGACTGAGGGCTGGTAGCAAAGGGTGCCTCTTCTGTTCCTGCTTAAGGGCAGCATGGGCCATAGTTGAGGACCTGTTCATATGGGATGTCAGTAGCATGCCCTCAAGATGGCTGGTGGAGCAGCTGGCCTGGTCTCTGGGCTGTGTGTTTGCCTTCATGAGGTGCGATGGCCGTCCTGGGCTGCAGGCCAAGGCCCCTACCCCTAGGCTAGGACAGAACACTCCCCTCATTTAATACCTAACATTGATATGAACAGCCTTTGCTACAGTGAGATGAAGCATTTTTATTTTTTTAAATCAAGGGTGTTATTGGTAGCTAATGGCTTATTCTTACTCTGAACTGAACCTTGGAAAGATAGCGCAACTGAGGCCTGACTTTTCTACTGCAAAGAAGGCAAATAGCAGGGAGCCCTCATCCTGCCTTTGTATTATAAACTAAAATGGCAAAGGCTGGGGTTTTGGTTTTGTGGAGTTTTTTTGTTGTTTTTTTTTTTCCTTCTCCCTTTAGTCAGCAGTGGTCCTCGTAGTGATACCTCATTGAGCTGTCCTTCCAAGTTCTTGTCCTCGCTAGCTATTCAGAGCTCCTCCAAGGCCTCAAGGCAGCAGAGAGATCTCAAATAGGCAGATGATGTTGCAGGACTGAGAGCTTTTAACAGTAATAACTTTGTCATCTGGGGTAGGCTGTTGTCAACAGTTTGTATGGCGACAATTATGGCTGTTCCCTTCTGCTGGGTGTTTCCGTTGGCCCTCTGTGTTTGAGCGGTGCTCATCAGGGAGAAGAAAGCCACACCTGGTGGTTAGGGCTGGCCAGGGCCAGTCATGCAAGTTTGGGTAGCGGGGTCTGGAAAACACAACCCAGGCTCTGGGTGTCAGCAGGGACTGTGAAGAACTCATGTGAGAACAAATAAATTGTGAGTGACTCGATCTTCTGGCACAAGTAGGACGCGTCACAAGCTTGCGTTGGGTCAGTAATGCTGCTGGCTCTCTGGAAAGCAAGCGGAGGAGTATGGCAGCCAGGTGACTGAAGAAGCAGCATCCTTGATTTTACTAACAAATGCTCCTTCCAGGAGCCAGCGTCCTGTATTATACTGCCCAGTGAGGCAGTCTTCATCAGGTCTTGGTCTCTGTTCTGTATGAAGTGAAAAGTTTTGCATTTTATCATTCCTTGTTGCTTCCAGACATTTAAGTTGCTGCTGAGTGACCTGGAGAGGCGGGAGCAATGTCTCATTCTCCCCTGCATTTTGTAGGATTATGAGGATGGGGAAAGCAAATGGTAAACTGAGAAATAAAACATGAGACACTTAATTTGAAGGCAGGAATTACACAAGAGCATCTCTTTGACTGGCCTTCCTTTCCACTGCTGTCTCAGAGATGGTGGTTTCTCACTTTTGTTTCTCACAGGAGAATTTGAGAGGGTTACACAAGATGTAAGAAAACTACATAAGATTACTTAAATCAGGATAATTTTCTTTTTTTTCAATGGGATTTAACTTTTTTTCAGTGGGATTTTTCTGCTGATTCTGCAAGACTCTTGTTAGGCTTCATTCATACTTTAAAGGGCCATTCTTGTGCAACTTTTCTGAAGAGGCTCCGTGGTTGTTAATGAAGAGCCTGTTACTGAATTTGGTGTTTTCTGGGGGCTTTGTTGTGGCTGCTGCGTCACTAGCAGTTCACAGGGCTTGTTCTTGCTTTTAATGTCTCTGTGTATCAAGGTCACTTCCTTCTGTGGCTTCTGATGGCTCTTTCCCCAGCCCCAGCAGCCTCCAGGCAACAGTGCTCAGGAGCAGAAGGCCAACCAGATTATTTTTTGTGTCAGACCCAGAGTTTCATCCCATTGCTGGTTGTGCTAGACTCCTTTGCTGTGCTTCTTCCCGCTTTATGCTCTTTTCACATAAAGATGCGAGTGGGATGCAAGAAATGAGCTAAAAAGAAAGCTCCTATTAGATTTCAAAATTATATTTAAGATGAATTACGTCTTATGTTTTAGAAAAAGGAATAATTTTCTCATTTCCTTATTCCTGCTTATTATTTTTAGTTCAGAGAATAATATTTGTTATCTTAACTGAGGACAATGTAGACTTTTATCAAGTTGTAGAGCCTTTAGCTCTTACCTGTACTCCCTGCTTATCCAGTAAGATGTATCATCAAATAGGCATGAAAATAATCTAAATAGGTGATTAAACGTGTTTTGAAAAGTCAGGTCATTAGCCTTTGCATTTTTCCTCCATGGTGTACACGATAGAGGTATTAATAATTCTGTAGAAAAACCACTACATCTGTGTAACTATTCTGGAGCACAATATTGATTTTCTAGCCTGATGTCATCAATGCTTAGGCAGCATAACATGGTTTCTATAAATAAGGCAATATAAAGAATTTGAGCTAGGCCTGAGAACTGGTCCCCTTTAGTTGGAGAAAAAGTTTTCATAAATTATTCTCGTATTTTGTGAGACCTCTTTATCCTTCCTGTGACTTTAAAACAAATTTCAGAGTGGCAATGTTTGTGGTGGTTTGTTTTTTTTCCTTCTTTTTTTAAACAAGGAGCCTTTGTTTAAGCCGTGTTATCTGCAGCAGCTTTACATGGCATGTGTGGTGGTAGCATTTAGATATGGTCTAGTTTATCCTGTAAACACCGCCACAGTGAAACAGAGAAATTGTTTGGTTATTAGGTTGAAGAAGAGGTAGTAAACAAACACCAGTCACTGTAAAAACGAGGAGTCATTTCCTTTCCTATCTCATTAGTGTGTACATCCACAGACATATATAATCTTCATCATCATTCCAGCCAATTTCTTGTAGCAGTGATTGTAAGTGCTTTGAAAACAAAATATGAGGGCATGATCTCATGCCTTCAGTTCTCTGGGGAAG